TCTCCTTGTCACAATCAACACCAAACAATCCCAAGATATTATCTTTGCTTGTCCCTTTGCTACAATCCCGTTTTTAAGGTACTTCCAGGGTTATTGTTATAATATAGTCTTTTATTTCATTTCATTTCTCATTCACGCATTTGTAAGACCAGTAATTTTCCATGAAATCATTAGAGAAAAAGTGCCTTTAACCATTAGATGGCACTCTACATCGCTTTCCATTTTTAAAAGTTCTTTTTTCTCTTTTCAATTGTATTAATTCCACTAATTTTCAACCATTAGCTCTTCCAGGCAACTCCAGCATTCTATCTAATGCCTAATTAATGCCAATGTCTGTATCTTATTCCAAATTTGGTCTCTAATTCTGTTATAGTCCTTTTATGGTCCATTTTTTTATTTACCATATAATTTCCTCTTATTTTCCATTTGCCACTGCCACACTCTTAAACTAGGGCTCTTTCCTTCTCTTTTTCGGGATTATCAAAAAAAATCCAAAATCCTTTGCTTGGTTACACGCCGCTCACCACTTCACTGCTCCAGCACACACTTAAGTCCTGGGAGCTTTCTGTCTTCAGGGCAGCCATTAAAATGGCTGCTACCTCCCGTCTTCAAGGGAGTATACCTAGCCAGGGAGGGGAGATACAGCTCTCCTCGACCAGGTTGGTGGACTCCCCCTCTTATCCCATCCCTCCGAGGTGGGTCCAAGATGGATCTGGTCCCGTTGGGACCCTCCAACAGGATAAGCACGGATCGAAGCCACGGACGATTGTGGTCTTTGGTCTGTCTTCGACGGAAGTGCCCATCGTCAGCTTTTAAAAAACTACCGGTTCAGCTGATCCGACCCTCCCAAAGAAATCCAGTTTGACACCCCCCCCCCCGAGCTTAGGGTCTCTGCAAGCTGGCAAGATCAGGTACGTCAACCCTCCTCGCATCCTGCCATCGCACACCAGAAACCCAGTAAGGGTGAGAAGAGAGCCTCTGGGAACATGCAGAGCACAACAATTTACAGGCCCTCCTCCCGTCATCAGGTTGACGAAAACCACTTTCCCAAAGAGTGACAACCAGAAGTTGAATTATGGAAAACTGAAAAACTGCTGGAATGCAGGGGGTCCTCAACTTGTAACCAACATTTCCATGGCTAAGCAAGATGGTTGTGAAGTAAGCTTTGTCCCGTGTTAGCTACCAACTTCCTTGCAAAACGAATAACTGTAGTTGTTAAGTTACTAATAGTCGTTAAGTGAATCGGGCTTCCCTCATTTGACTTTGCTTGTCAGAAGGTTGCAAAAGGGGGTGTGACCCTGGGACACTGCGACCATTGTAAATATGAGATGAGTCAGCTGCCAAGTGTCTGAACATTGATTATGTGACTGGTAAGATGCCGCAAAGGTCGTAAGTATCAAAAAGGGCCATAAGTCACTTTTTCAGTGTTATTGTAAGTTCGGTCACTAAATGAATGGTTGTTAAGTCAATGACTGCCTGCACTTAGAAGTAATTGAACCCCCTCAGCTCCTATAGGTATTTTCCCATCTGGTTGGTGTTGGGACATAACTGGGTGGCACTTCGACCCCCAAAACTCTTCCTGGATGTGTAATGTACAACACTCCTTGGGCTGATTCGAGGATTCGAATCCAGACCTGAGTTTTCCCAGGATCCCAGTCAGAGACGTGATGGTTCTTCCAATTGTGTCACCGGGAGTCCTCGGTTTAACAACAGTTCACTTAGTGATGGTTCAAAGTTACCGTGGCAGTGGAAAAAAAGTGACTGACAATGGCTATTCACACTTACAATGTTCGGTCCCATGGTCAAAATTCAGATGCATGGCCACCGACTTCCACTTATGTCGGTCATGGTGTGCTGGGATCCCCTTTTTGAGGCCTTCTGACAAGCCAAATCCATGAGGGAAAAACCGGATTCGCTTAATAACCAGGTTACCCGCGTAACCGCAATGATTCACTGAACAAATGGGGTGGAAAAAAGTAGTAACATGGGGCAAAATTCACTTAACAACGTAAGCTTGGGGGAGGAGGGTCCATTATGGTCCTAAGTCAAGGACTACTTGCATTTCTTCCATGTTTCCCTGAAAATAAAATTCTGCCTTATTTTGTTTGCCATCAAAGAAGGCACCAGGTCTTGTTTTCGGGGGATGTCCTCCACGGACTACCCTCACTTGCACGCATTGCCCCCGGCCTCCTTCCGGAAGTCCTCCTTCCGCAGCCGGCAAGGCTTTCCCGAAGGCCTCTGCAGCCGATAACTGCCAATAACTCTGGATCGATCTAGAGCTTTGCTAACAGCTCCAGAAGAAATGGGCCGGCAATGCAGGTGTCGGGGTGTGTGAGGCCTGGCTACAACTGTCCAAAAGGAAGTAGTAGCGCAGCTGCACAACCCCCTATCCCCACCTTAGCTTAATTTTTACCCGTCCACTTTGGAGTGGATGGGAATCTTCATTAGGGCTTATTTTTTTGTGGCGGGGGATAGGGCTTATATTGGATGCACATGTCAAAAATCAAACTAGGCCTCACTTTCAGGGTAGGTCGTATTTTCAGGGAAACAGGGTTGACCTATAAAACCTCTCTTGAATCACAACCAGTTGTAAAATAACCACTCATGCAAACTGAGGTCACACTGATTTTGCTTGTGATTTTATTCCGAGAGGTTTTTTGTTTTTTTTTTTAGAAAAAAGATTATATTAACAGGAAAAACTTGCAAACTTTTTTTTTTCCAAAAGTGATGTGTATCCTAAAATCACAACAGACGCACTGCGTGTAAAGGCTAAAGCAGCATTTTGCAACTTCGGCCATTTTAAGATGAGTGGACTTCAACTCCCAGAATTCCTCAACTCCCAGAATTCTCCATGTGAGGCTGGCTGGGGAATTCTGGGAGTTGAAGTCCACCCATCTTAAACACGATGAGATTGAAAAACGCCGGACCAAAATCAGACTAAAACAATAACACACATTCTCGCTCCCCTCCCAGCCATTTGTAGAGTAGGAGTACCGACTGGGGATTATGGGATAGATAATCAAATACACCCAGGTTGCCCCCTGCTGGGCACTGATAATTGGCACTTGGAGCTCGACATTTCGGTTCCTTTGCTAAGCCTTGGCGCAGAATTTGGCGCCATGATCAGCCATTGATGGAGGGGAGAGAGGCAGGGACGGGATACCAAAATCCAAGTTCGCGGCCAGGTTGCTGGGTGGGCGTGGCCTACTGGAACATCCAGGACGGCCATTTTTCACCTGCCCCAGACTCCGGAGGCGTCCCTCAGGCCTCTGGGAGGGCAAAAACACTCTCCCCTGAACTCTGGAGGACCCCCGGAAGCCAGAAACAGGCCCGTTTCTTGACTTCCAGAACTTCTGGTTCGGCCCGTTTTCCCTTCCCCACTCCCGAGAGCCTCCGCGCAGACCCCGTGCTTACCTGGATCCAAAATGGGCTGTGTGGAGACTCCTGGGAAGGCGGGGCAGGTGCAGGTAGGGCCAGCCGGTTGGTTCAACTACCGGTTCAGCGAACCGAATGTAAATTTAACAACTGGTTCGCCTGTACTGTCCCGAACCGGCTGAATCCCACCTCTAGAGATGGCTAGGGGGGACATTCAAGGATGCATGAGAAGGGGTGCATTTTGCACAAGTGCACACCTTGAGAGGGAGCCCCATGCTACTCTAATGTGGCTCTCCAAATACCCGAGTGCAGGCTGTTCCCCCTCCCCCAAATGCAGGCCCTCTCCCCCCCTTCAAAAAGCCACCCAACTCCATCAATCTAGCAGGAAGGAAAAAACAGACGGGGGTGGGGGCTGGGGTGGGGTCAGCTAAGAGGAGGGTGCAAGAGGTCGTTGCGGGGAGGTGAAAAAAAGTCAAAATGGCAGCCCCGTCTGGATGCCCCCTTGTCTGTTGGGATTCCCTGCGGATGTCCTGGGTGGAGGCGGGAATGTCCTGCTCTCAGGGAGAACAATCTAAGAATGGCCGAGGGAATTTCTGCAAGTTTCGGTGAGGAATTTACTGCAAGAGGGAATTTACTGCAAGAGGGAATTTGTGCAAGAGGGAATTTGTGCAAGAGGGAATTTGAGGAAGGGAATTTCTGCAAGAGGAAATTTGAGGGAATTTGCAAAAGGGAATTTGAGGAAGGGAATTTGTGCAAGAGGGAATTTGTGCAAGGGAATTTCTGCAAGAGGGAATTTGAGGGAATTTGCAAAAGGGAATTTGAGGAAGGGAATTTCTGCAAGAGGGAATTTGAGGAAGG